GAACGATTTTAGGTAGCCCTTCAGACTACCTTTTTGTCTTTTTTTTCAGCTCCTGTTTATTAAGAAAGCATTTGTTATAGAAAATATTCTTTTGTCACTGTTGAATTTGTTTTAATTGTTATAATATTGTACGAAATTATTTTTATGATGAAATATTTAAGTCAATTCAAATTTCAATAAAATTTGTCTTTTCAAATTATTATTATAAAAATATTTTAATTATAATTCAATATTTAAATCTTTTAATATTATAATTCTAATGTTGTAATTCTGAAAAAAATTTATGGATTACTTAACAATATATTAATAACTTTTTTCTAGATTAGAATGTTTTTTTTCAGATCTATATTATTTTATGAATTGAGTTTGTTACAGATACTTATTGGATGAAGATAAGTAAGAATTGTGAAAAAATGAATTATGATTTAATTATCTATTATATTGAATTTTTTTAATTCGTTTGTATAGTTTATTTCAGGAACTTATTCAGCTTTCAACGGAACACAATGAAGAAAATGTGTAATTTTATTATATTTAGATTTCTGGTAGGTATTATGTTTGAAGAAATTATAGAACTTTTTATATGCACATATTAAGTTTTCTGAAACGATATTAAGTTTAAGAATTTTTCAGGGTATTTGACTGGGAATAAAAATTATACAACATAACTTTAAGCTACACGGATGATATTTAACATTGATGGAACAAAATGTGTATATAATTCAATGCATGAATAATTAATTGTGTGATAATGTGTAATTAATTAATTGTGTGTTAGTATGTGCTAATTAATTATATAGAATAATGTAGTATAAGTAAGTAAAAAATGAGTAATGTATTGTTTATTTATTCTACTTATTTTTTTATGCTTTTATATAGTTATTTATAGTTATATTTCTTAATATTGAATATGTAAAATATTGATAGAAATTAATTTTGCATCAGTTTTTTAAATAATTTCTTTTATTATTTGTTTTGTATAAATGCATGATCAATGGTGGTTTGAACATTTTGCAAATGTACATTGAAAAAAGAATTTATTTGATTAAATTAATTTTTAAATTAAAAGAAGATGAAGGTCTTGGTTAAGAGGGATAGATAGATAGGTTATTAGTTAAGCAATCTTCATCCAGTGCAAGGTGGAATATACGATATATAATTATATTATTATGTATACCAATAATATAATTATATATTTTGTAAGGAATGTGATTCAATTGGCTGTGAACTCGATTATATTTTCATAGATAAAAAATTTAGTGAAATGACGAATAACATTCTCGTTTTAATCTTTAAAATAATGAAGTATAAGTATAAATTTGCCTCATATTTTTGAAGTTATTTAATTTTGTGTATGTACTTAGATTATAACTTACTAGGTAATATAATAAATAATCTAAAGTCGGTATTTCAGAACATGTGACACAAAAACCTCATGTTCTGAAATACCGATCTGTTTATATTTATTGTACTTCTCGTTTGTCAGTTTATGTTCACTCTTTCAAAGAATACATATATAGGTTTAGAGATGGCGTTGGTAGTTCATTCTTATTCTCTACTGTATCCTTCTACTATTTGTTCTGCCTAAATATTTAAATTCTTTTATTTGCAATCTAGAGATGGCGTTCATTCCATAATCCTTATCCTATCTTTGTTCTTCTCTTATTGTACGTGATTCTTATGTACTTTGCAAAGTTTTTACCAAGAAAGGATTTCAAATTTTATCTCATTATCTAATTTATTTATTAA